AWTTTYMAAAGTTAAAACAGTAATTGATGTATATTATATATTGAGTTATGCTCGGATTACCACAAGTTAAAGTATATATTTTTTGTTTAAAATGTTTTGTATATATTTTTTTCATTTAATCCCTTAATTATGTTTTGATATTTTTCTTTTATACTCTCCTCGTATCGTTGGTAAGTGTAAAAGTGATTGGTGATCAATTATGTAGCATAATATTTATTATTTAGTAAGCTAATACAAATTAGAGGAGAAATTAGACTATCTAGAAAATCAAATTTTTTTAARGAGTTAGGTAAAAATTTTGACATTTATATTAAAGGGTCAAAGTATGAGATTTTTTTTTTAATATTGTTAACATTTAATCTTATTTTGATAATAATGCTAAATGAAACTTATTCCAAAAACAATGTTTTGAAAATTCCTCTCACTTGATTTTCTCTGGTCGTCTATTGCAGAGACSACCTACATACGTGGCATTGCATGTTGTTAGTCACGTTAGCTTTTTTAAAAAAAAAAACAAAAACAAAAAAAATAATGAAGAGATAGAAATATACTAAATTTAAACAAAAACTGACACTTAAATGAGAGTCACTAGAATCTCATCCTCTAATTCAAAAGTATATTGGAAGACTTAACCTAAGACCTCTGGATTAGAGGATCCATATAACCACTCACTCCAAGAAATTTTAGTTTCGACGGACCTTTTTGGAAACGATATAAGATTTCGTCACGAAAAGTAATTTATGGCGACTAAACTTACGTCTATCGTCGCCATAAGTCACTTTTGGCGACGAAATTACACTTTGTTGCAAAATCTGTCGTGCATTTCAAAATTTTTTACATTAGACTTTTGGCGACGACGTTTAATTTCTACTCTACCAAAGTAGAAGTCATGCAATGTCACGTATGTAGGTCAAAGAGATGACCCACTCTTGAAGTGGACGATCAATAGTGGAAGAATTTTCAAAGCATTATTTTTCTAATAAATTTCAAATTGACATTATTTTCAAAATAAATTTAAATATTAGCAACATTAAAAAGAAAAATTCCCTCAAGTATCACCTCATATTAATTAGTTAATATTTCATCAGTCAATCTTAACCTTCATTATATAATTGAAAAATATTAATTAACTCAAATATCATGGAGTAAAACATAAATATATTTAGCTCATATTATATCTCTAATTTAACCATTACGCCAAAATATTACAAAATTCTGACTGATCAAACTCTGCACAAACTGAATAATCAAGAAGTAAATGGTGTACTGTAATATCTGAAGACATGATGATGGACGGAACTTTCAGTTTCCTCCGCCGTATCGCCGCCGCCAAATTGGAACAAAACGGCAGCTCCGGCTGCGGCCGGCCGGGGGTGGTCTTGCTGGCCGTTCTTCGGCTGCGTACTATTATCACAGGGAAGGGCTATGGAGAGCTCGAGATTGAGTGGTGGGTTGTTGTTGTTATTGTCTTCCACCTCCGTCGTCACACAGCTGCTGCTGCTCGAATCTTCGGCCGATGTGGCAGAAGGCTTGGCGGAGGGTCGCCTCCGGTGGATGTCAGTGGCAGCGCTGGGTTTATGGAGGAGCGGGCGGTGGGTTTGAGGGTCGATTCCTCGGGCGTAGAGCTTGCGTTTGATGTGGGTGTTCCAATAGTTCTTGATCTCATTATCGGTTCTACCTGGCATGCGTGCTGCAATAAGAGACCACCTGCCATGTGCCATATTCGTAAGGTTAAATCATTATTGAACTCAAAAGTAGGTTAAATTATTGTGAGTTTGAAAATATGTATGAGGGGCGACAAGCAATACTTCCTTGTAGATTGGACAACGGAGAAAAAATTTCTTACCACTCACCATTAGAGAGATGAGAGAACTTTCCAAAAAGTGAACGTTTGTTAAAATTTTAGTGATGGACAATAAGGAATTTCTATTACTGTTCTAATATTAATTAAGAAATATTTAGGTTCTCATTCSTGAATATCTATTTTATTCTCCCACTATTAAAATGTTTGACAACTAAGGAAAAAAAAATTACAAAAACAATGAAATTGTTTATTAAAAATAATAAACTATCAAATTTTCAACAATGAGCAACTCAAGAAAATGACATTATTACACAAGTTTGAACAGAGAGTATTTCTCCGCGATCTAGATGTAAACTCACTTGTTACCAAGCAGGCTATGGAGATTGATGATGAGTTCATCCTCATCGTCAGTGAAGTTCCCCCTCTTGAGATCGGGGCGTAGATAGTTGATCCACCTCAATCGACARCTCTTCCCACACCGAAGCAACCCTACATATCCAACAACAACACACAAAACGCAAGGTCAAACGCCAAGCAACATAACAAAAGAAAAAAAAATTAACTCAACAGTTAAGACATCTCTAATACCGGCAGCTTTAGGGAGAGACCGCCAGCAGCCATCGCCATGGATTTGGATGTAATCGATGAGTCGTTGGTCTTCTTCCTTCGTCCACGCCCCCTTGTTGGTATGCTCCTTCTCGCAACAGGGAGATCTCCCCATGGCGATACACGATACGATACGACACCGTTTTCACCTCCAACAACACTGATTCACAGATCTAGAGAGGGAGAGAGAAAAAAAGTATGGGGAAAATTAAAGGAAAAGAGAGTTGGTGACGAAATAGAGAGAGAGAGAGAGAGAGAGAGAGAGAGAGTATATGAGGAACCAATTGACTCGGGACTTCTTATTAACGTTGTTATGTTTTCGGGCAGCGGGCAGCACTAGGGCATGTTTGACCGGGTTGGTGAGAAAGATGAGTGGTTCTTATTCAATTACATTAATGCTGGATTTGGTAGCTGCTTCTCTCTCTCTCTCTCTCACTTTTCTTTCTTTTGCCCTTTGGGTCTTCTTTTTTATTCTATTTGCAACTATATATTCTTCTATTTTGACCCCTGTACTTCCGAAGCATTCGTTTTGGTCGTCCCTTTGTAGCTAGTGGACTCTATAATCGGAACTCATTGCGTGGGCTGAAGCAACCTTGTGACCGATGCAGAGTTCGAACATGAGACCTCATGATATAGGTGATACCACAGGGCCTCATGTCCTTGCCACTACACCATCTCCAGGGGACTGATCCCCTACTTTTGAAAAGTGACGATTTTGGTCATTTCATTTCAATATGACGTACTATACTCAATATATTTCTTGAAATATAGTCATGAGTTTTTCGTTATATGCATAGATTTGTGTTGAAATTGGTACCAAAGTGGTCACTTTAAAAGTAACCGAGATAAAAATAAATGTTTTGAAAGTGGAGGGACTAAAATGAGTAAAATTAAAGTTATTGTCAAGGTTTTAAATGTAGATGTCGATGGAAATGTCGATGTTTCAAGTTTATGGAAACATCGATAGAAATATCAATAAAATGTAGATGCCGATGAATATTTCTAAAAAAATAAAAAAAAAAAGAACTCAGAAATAAATATTTCATTTAACAAATTAAAATTTCACCATTTTTAAATAATTTAAAAAATTAACAATATATATTAAGATTATTATCATATTGTTGATATTTTGTTGATATATTTGACGTCGAACTTATAAACATGTAGAAACATCGAAGAAAATATAAATATRGATGTGTCGATAAAAATTTAGTACTCAAATTACGATGAAAACAAAATGAATCAAAGTAGTATTTTAACATATAAATTAGGGAGTCAAGAGACAGAGAGAATAAAGAAGAGAGGGCTGAAATGAAATAATAGTGCATATTATTTTAATTTTGGAAAGAGAAAAGAAAAAACAACAACAACATCTAGAAGATGAAGAAGATGAAGAAGAAGAAGAATTGGGTGGCCCCTACCAAAGCTTTGGGCTTTGAATATGTTCCAACCATATTTTAAAAAGAAAATTTTGTTTCTTTATAATATTTTCCATGCCATATGTTTCTTTTTTTTTTCCTTTTTTATTTTATAAGAAAAAGAAAAGGAGTTTTGTTGTTGAGTTGTCTAAGCTTCTAGAAGGCAAGCCAAGCCAAAGCCAAGGTTGAGGTTTGAGTTTGAGTTTGGTCCACTAAGACTAAGACCCATCAATTTGAGGAGGRTAAATCCAAAAGGGATTTAACCAACTCCCATATCTACCCTTTACCTTCACTATTTATTTTTACTATGCTTTATATATATATATATATAGACGCACACACATACATACATATTTTTTGGCGATGGAACTTTTGACGATAAATAGAAATTTCTTCATCATAAGATAYTTTTGGTGACGAAAATTATATTTCGTAGCTCTAACTCCCTCTTATCGATGGCGATAATGGAGACGATGTACATATATACTTTTACTCGGTAGCTCCATCTCCCTTCTTATCGATATGAGCATAGTTCAACTAATTAAGGTAAATGATAGACCTACGTTTGGCCAGAGTCCTCTTCAACATTTGAATTATTAGTAAAATAGTATGCGTTATAGTATGAAATTGGCCTTTTGGCTTGATGACGAGCAAGACAAATCACTTTTTACTCGAACACAGGTATCACTAGCTCCAACATTTCCCACCATTGTCATGGTATTTAAAAGTGATTTTAAAATTTAAAATATATTAAAACAATAATTAAAAGTGATTTACGATAAAGTTCACCTCGACCTAAATGCAAGCTCCCATTGAGAGAGCTCGTGTAAACTTAAAGGATGAACTATCTTGGAGGAAGATCATCCCTTAGAACTTCCAAGCCGACCATATCTTAGCTCCAATTCAATTGGGGCCAACGGTAGGTGATAAAAAAAATGTACAACATGACACATGGACCCATAAGAACWACCTCGATAATAAGAGATAGCTAGGCCATAAGAGGTAGCTCAACCTTAAGAGATAGCTCGATCATAAGAGATATAGCTCGACCATAAGAGGTAGCTCAATCAAAAGGGATAACTTGGCCATAAGCAATACCTCGACTATAAAAGATACCTTGGCCATAAGAGATACCTCGCCCATGAAAGACCTTTGACCTTGATTCATAATTCAGCCATGGAGTACCTCAACAAAAGGACATAGATAGCTCAACCAATAAAAGATGAGCTGTATCACAAAACCACTCAATTGTGTCTTTCCGACAACACACCGTGATTTAARRGATGGTCATAACTGTTCTTCAATCCCTCTTRGAAGTTAACACCCTATAAATAGAATCGCATTCGCATGTCTCACTTTTCAAGTACGCCAAATTATTCTCTCTCAAATATAAAATCATATAATTATTGACTTGAACAGAGCTTTTTACTCTGTCTATGTAGGTTCCTTCATTCATCAGCTTCATCGAAGTCCAAGTTTTGCATAATTGGTCATTTTTATAATATAAAATTATAAACTACTTAGAGAGAAAACATTTAATTAGTGTTTTCCACTCGAAAGCACTACTGAAAAAWTTTGAAAACTCATGTTTCTCATGTGCGGCAACTTTTGTAATTACTATATTTTAAAATATTTTMTTTCAATATTTAAATGTTTATAAGTTAATTAATAAGTTTAGTCTTTCTACTTTCACTATCTGTCGATTATTGAACATTTCTTAAATTTTAATTCTTTATGTCTAATAGGTRCCCAAATTTTAAAAGTATTTAATCAATTTTATATCTAATCCATTCCTGACATATTAAACACTTTTTAAATTGGATTATGACCTTTTAATTTTGGATTTAATAGATGCATGAAATTTAAAAAGGGTGTGATAGGTTATTTTGATGTATATTTGAAATGCACAAAATTGAAAGTTTAAAGATTTATTGGACATATTCAGAGGCGTATGAGGCAAGCTTGAAAATTAAAGACTAAACTTGTTATTTAACCTAAATTTTATAAAATAAAAATTACGTTTAGACAATTGTGTTAACTTTTTTTTATTAAATTATTTAAGAAAATTATTACTTTAATTATTGTTTCTCATTATTATTATTATTTTTTAATTTTGATATTAGACTCCGTGAATAAACGTTAACTTGTAATTGTCAATTTTAACAAATTTAATATAAAGTGAATAGACCGTGAAATTAATACCCGTTAAATTTGTTTTCTTCCAAATTTATGACTAATTATATAGGTTTTTTTTTATTTTTTTATTTTGTACATATGTTGATTCATTTGATTGTGAAAAATTTGAGCAAATTTGAAAAGATAATATATTTGAAAAGGTATCCCTTCTTTTTTAAACATTCATTCTTGAATTCCAAAAATATATTAATTCCATTTTTTTTTTCAAATTTTATCTTATTTCTTGCTTTCTTCCTTCACTCCATTCTTTTATTTGTTTGGAATTAACTCTGAGTTTGAGGTAATTATTGGAGCCAATCATTAATTTAACCTCCACTTCTAGAAAAAGTTTGAAGCAAACTAAAGAGAACATGTAACTAATGAAATCATATCAAATTAGTGAGAAAGGCCATGGTTGATTAGGATATATATATTAAATCCTTAATTAGTTATATACAGAGTTTTAAATCTCGATGTGAAATTTCCAGATCTCAAAATTTGATAGAATTGTTGATGGATATTCCTAAAAAATTGTAAAAATAAAAGAATCATAATAACAGATAAGTATTTCACTATTTTTGAATAATTTAAAATTTAGTAACATTAATATTATGTCCATGTTAGTGATATTTTGTTGATTTTGTTTTTTTTTATATTTTGTCATTTTTTTTCGATACTATGAAAAATGTTGATCCATCTCTTCTTGTTGATTATGAAAATGTAGACATGTTGACAAAAAATTTAAACCTGATTTATATATCACTATATCATTGACCATGAAATAAAAATTTTCAAGTTTTTTTCATGACCTCAATTCGAAGGATTTCAACCGCTATTTACTAAATGAAGAAGACAAGCCGAAAAATTAAAACATCAAAATATAATAAAAATTTTAGTAGTTTATTCGATAAAGTTATTTTAAAATAGAGTAAAGTTCGAGATGGTTAGCATTATGTTAAAGAAAATTATCTTCTTTTTTTTNAGGATATAAATTTATTATTAATTTCACCTAAAGAGACTTGTATACATCAATCAAATAAAGATTTTGTTTTTATATGAATATAAGTCTACTTTGATTTTCAAACAATGGGTTGTTTTTATTTAAAAATTAAAGTACAAATCAAAATTGATGTATGTGTTCAACTACTTCTTTTAAAATGGTCTTTTTGGAAAATAATGCATCTCAACAAATAATAATAATGATTGGAATTTGTTGACCAACCTAGTTTCTTGTCCACGTGTAACTTCACAATATGATTGATAATATTATTTATTTTCTCAATATACTTTGACTATGAAGAAAGAAAAGGAAAAATAAATAAAGAAACTTTAAAAAAGAAAGTGACCACAATCAAAGGCGCCAAATAAGGCACGTTGTGTTTAGTATTTAATTAGTTAACTAATTAAATGGATGAGATTTTTTTTTTTTAACTACACCAACAACTGACACAGCCAATTTTAACATAGTTGAACTGGTCGGGACATCTATCTTGACCAAAACGTCATGAGTTTGAATTCTCACCCCCACATGTTGCACTATAAAGATTTGAACCTACAACCATTTGATCGAAAAATTTATGTCTTAACTGGTTGAATTATACTCAAGTTAGCTAATAAATTAAATGACATTTGATTTTTCTCTCAAACATCTTACTTTATTATTTTTTTATTTTTTTCCCTTTTGAATTTGGGGGTGGGATTGAACTATCAACTTAAGGATGGTAATATGTGTTTTTATCTAGTTAAGCTASACTAGGATTGGCTCAAACATTTTACTTAACATATATAATAATATAAATATATAGAGAGAATCATTATAAAGAGAATATTTATTTATACATAAAACATTAGACTTAAAATTTTTATAAAAATGATATAACTTGACCAGTAAAAGTCAATACAATCACATGAGACCAACAAAAAAATCACTTTTTTAAAAAAAAAAGTAAAAAAGTAATTATACTTTTATAATTACAAATTTTATTTTTCCATTTAGTGTAATTTTTGCATTTTTTAAAAAAAATTACTTAAATTTTCAAAATCTAAAAATTGGATAACGAATGGATTATCAAAAGATCATGTTTTTTGAAAATAAAAAACAGAAAATAGTTTTACGAGGCATATTATAAAACAAAGGAATTGTCAGGAAATAAATTTAATCTTAAAAAGAGAATTATTTATCAAATTCTAGTTAAATTGAAAAAAAAAAAACATATTTTCCCATTATATCTAACTTTGACGTTGGACGTGAAGAATAGTTACAAGAAAGTCCTTAAAATTTATATATTTAAATTAAAACTAACTAAATTTGATAAAAAGAATAAGAGGTTTGAATTTTTACTTTCACATTTTGTTGAATTCAAAAACTAAAAATAAAAATAAAAGTAATCATAAATATAACATTTTTTAAATGATAAATAAAAATATGGTATTTCTAAAGAAAATAAAAATATAGTAACTCATACAAAGTAGAGTTTGATTAATTAAGAGCATATTAAATTTCTTATATATTTATATTATTTGATTATAAATAATCAATAGTAAACAAGGTTTTAAATGTGATATAGATGGAAATGTTGAGGTTTCAATTTTAGAGAAATATTAATGAGAATATTGATAAAATATTGATGCCTATAGATATTTTTAAGATTGTATAAAAATAAAAAAAATTTATAAAAGAATATTTAAATTAACAAATAAACATTTCATACTTTTTCCAAAAAAAATGATGAATACCAACATTATATCCACATCAGTGATATTATGCAGACATATTTTACATTTCCTTAATTTTTTTGCAATACCACAGAAATGTCAATTTACCTTTCATATCGATGTCGAATCCATGAACATGTGGAAATGTTTGACATATCGACAAAAATTTAATACTCTACTAGAAAATCACTTACATTGGTTATTATTAATTTACTTTTTTTTTATTTTACCTTATTTGTAATTATATTTTAACTATTATGCTATAATATTTATATAAATTACAATTGAATATTTATTTCTATTCCCCAAAATTTGTTGTGCCCAATATTTAGTAAAATAGGAATGTGGGCTGGAATGGGTGTCATCTTGGCCCAACCAACAAGATTCTAATTATTTTTTGGATATGACTTAATAACCCTTTTATTTTCATATTTATTATTTTTTCCTTTCATATTTTAAACTTATATCTTATTTTCTTAGATTTTTCTTATTTGCATGTAGGCTTTTTTTTTATTAATATTTTCTACAACTTTCATCATTATTCTAAAATTTAATAACTCTATATTTAATTGTATAATTGACTTATAAAAAAAACACGATTTTATGCATGTTTTAAGAAGATAGTTCAGACTTCAGTTTACTAATAATTTTTTTTTCTTTTTTGTTTTTGCAATAACCTACTTCTTAAAAACGCCCCGTGAGTTCAATAAATCAAGTTCGTAAGCATAGACCCAAGAGGTCGAGCAAACCATATAAATTGAATTGAGTCCTTTGGGCCCTAGTTTGTGAGACGCAGTCAACTGGGCTAGACTCGTTCTCTTAGTTCTTTTGAAGGCCTAACGAGCTTTTCAACTCAAATCCCTCAAATTTTGGAGATTGAAAACAAGAAAATATATTAGAGATACTAGGATTTTCCCTCTATAAAGAGAAAGCAAATTCTCATTATCGAGATATGCTACAAAACTCTAATGCTTGCTATGCTTAACACAAACCCGAATCTGAACTTAAATATTTTTGTTGGGGCTAACACCACACCACTATGTATTTCTTTTTATTTTTGCAAGTTTTCGAACCTCGTTAATCAAAAGAGAGTGGTGCAAATTCGGTCATTTTGCTAAGCGAAATTTACACATATAAAATATTGATTTTTACTTAAGCATATTTGTTATATTTAAAACTAGTAAAAGAATTGTAAAAAATGAAATTGATTTTCACCCCCACCTTTAGAACTATTTTGCAAACAAGGCTATACTCTTTGACTAATTATTTTATCTTGATTTAATTTATGTTTTAAGTTTGCATGTTCAGAAATAATTACTTTAAATATTATTCCCTATGACTTGGACACAAATCTTGTTCAGAAATAATTAAGAATATTCAAATTCATTTATAATACTTTTAACTTCTTATTTTGTTTTTGTTTTTTTTTTTTTTTAAAAGTCCCAAAGTAAATTATTAAGATCATTCAAATATTCAAAGGATTATTGGATTCAGTGACATGACCAATTTTGAAGTAGTCTTAAGCATTAGAGTCTTCTTTGGATCCATAAATTGATATGTTATCTAGATATGCTGTTGAATATTAATATTTAATTAATTGACGTAAACTAAAGGTAAAATGAGGAGCTATAACGTTCTTATATGCATAAGATGAAATTTCCGTTTTATTTATTATTATTATTATGTTTTTTTACACAAAAGAGATTGCGTGAGGATTTTGTTGGAATTGGTGGAGCCAGATCGACATCAGAATGAATTAGGGTCGAGCCAGGTCGCGTCAGGACAATCGAAGGAATGAAAAATGGCATCGGACACTGCAAGAGGCTTTCAGGCCGAGAGGAGATCGCCGCAGCGCTAGGGACAATCTCGTGGCGCTACAACAAAATTTCAAAAAAAAAATGGCGTTGGGCACTGCTATGATTTTTAGCATTTAATGTCATAGATTTCAAATAATTTTTTTAGAAATTGAGTATTTTTTTTCCTTTGTTAGAAGTTTTACAATCAAAGATTGAATCTTTGAGAAACCTTTTTAAGGGATAAAAGAAACTTGTTAGAACTTGATAGGACTAACATGAGAAATTTTAAAACTTTAGAATCGTCAAATTTGATAGCTAGGTTGTTTATAGACAAAATTAATTATAATTAGGGTTTAAATTTCATTTTAGTCCTTTTAACTTTCAATTTTATTGTATATTTTTTTCTAGACTTTAAAAAATAACAATTTTGATCTTAGAAATATCGAAATATCTATTAAATCCTTGAAACGTCTAAAAGTTAAATATTTTGATTTTACTATTATTTTGTCATTTTAATATTTGTCCATTTAATATTCTCTAACCAATATAGACAGCTTCAAATTTTACATATATGTATGTATCTATATATCTATATATATAATTAGTACGGAGAATTATTTGTTCTTCGCTCTCTTATTGCTATTAACCAGCCGGTAAATACCAACGGTACATTATCATATATATGAAATAATTAATGACAAAAAATTAAAATTGGGTTGTTTAAAAAAATAAAGGTCAAAATAGACATTTTAAAAGTTTAAACTCAAATAATGAAATATACCTAAAGCTAAAGTTGTAGTGGACAAAAAATGAGATTTAAAGCTAGGAAGGGAGCCAGATCATTTAAGACGACCAACAACCAACTCGAGCTCCGCTCAATCAATTAAAATACTTATCTTCACTCAAGAAGTCGTGATTTGGAATCTGAATTAAAAAAAAAAAAAAAACTTAAAGACCAATTGAAAGATGTCGTACCTCTGCCACCCTAACTCAAAATTTAATTTTTTTCTGAAAATGGGGGAGGGGTTCAAAACACAGTACCACACAACCTCTCTCCAAACAATATCCACAGTCATACCACATTAATTACCCATAGGTGGGCATATGAGAGAAAATCTTTTCTTTTTTTTTGATAAAAAAAAAATATATTTTGAACGGTTATTAGAAACTTCCCGATCCTTGAAACTTGCTTCTAATAGTTATTAAGAGACGGTCACATTCAATAATTCATTCTATGACAAATATATATTTAGATGTTTGTGCTGACTAACTCTCGTTAAATTTTTAAGTGGGAAAGATTATTCATATAAAACTTAATGTTTACTAATTATGTTTTATCCTCTTTTCTATGTATTTTCAAGAAGAAGAAAATAGAATCTGACTTTTAACGATGGTAAAAAAAAAAAAAAAACACGTAGGAAACAAACAGTGACGGCAACGAAAAAGGCTTGAAGTTCTACTACTCTGTAAAGAGAGAGTAAATGTAAAAGTGAAAAGTAGAATAACTTGAAGAACAGATGACAAGAGACACACAAGAACAAGACACGAGACCAAATAAAAGAGTTGGGAGGGACAAGGACGATGATGTTTTTTGCTCCACGTCCAAGCTGGGAGCAAAATGAGAGAGATCATGAGAGTTTGCTTAGCTTAATTATTCATCAACACAGACAAATATATCAAACATTATTAACTAATAGATCAACACAGTCTAGTGCAGAAGCAGCGGCGGCGGAACCCGTTGCAGTCGCCGCCCGAGAACCCCTCGGTGCGGCACACCTGGGCGCAGTTGTGGTCGCTGAAGCACGCCCCGTGGAAGTGGTGGCTCTGCGACTTGCACACCCTCGCCTCAGCAACACCGCCTCCCATCATCTCTTCTGTTACGCACAAAAACGCGCACGCGCACGCACACGCATCATAATCGTCAAACAACAAACAAAACCAAAAGAAAGTACAAAATTTTTGTTTCAATGAGGCTTACGGGAAGCAGAGAAGATGAGGAGCAGGAGGAGGAGCGTGGGGAGGAAGGACTTGTTCATCTTCTTCTTCTTGTCTTCACCTTTGGATTGCAAGATCTGTGTGTGTGTTTCTAAGTTGAACACAATGGGAGGATAACAAGGCTGTTTATATAGAAGGGGAGTGAGAAACCATATGCTCTTGAGAGAGAGAAAGATGGAAAATTATTCAATGGGATTGTTTTTCGAGTGAAATTTGTCTGTGGATGACCATTCTGTTAAGTATCTCATATTGTTCACACGATTGTCAATTGTTTTTTAGATGTAACCTCACAAATATTTACATGATATTAGAGACCAAAACACTCAAATGAACCTCGAGTCCAAAAATAGGATACGGCTAAGATCGATGAATCAAAGAGCCACGATCTTTGAAGRGACATGTTAAAGATCCCAATAAAGAACCCGTGGACTACTGATTTCATCGTGAAAGTGTTTTATAATTGGATCCAGATTTAAAATTTGTTAAATTATTATGAGCTCGTACTATAATAAAGTTGTATCCAAATAGCGGATTATATATTGAACTTTCTAGAGCTGGGACTTAATTGATTTTATTTTACTATTAATTATTTAGAGAATAATTATTTTTTTTTAAAGTTTAGAAACTTGTTTGACATACCATCCTTAGAGTCGGAATCAAATTTCTTCTCTTGATTTTCCACTCTCCACCTTCACTTTAAAAATCTTCGAGAGATTTCTAGAAACTCGAGTCTTATTTCCTCTTTTTCTTTTGGTAAAACTTCCTAYGTAGTTTCGTCCTTTTCATTCTTCTTCTCTTAGAAAGACATATTTAAACCATTAAAATTTATGTGACCTTAATAATTGTTGAATGCATGTTCAAAATTTGCTTACCTCAGTGTTCAAAATACAATTTTAAAAATTCTCTCTCGTACATTCAATTGTGTATAATTATTTATCTACATTGTTTCAACCTCTCGAATAATTTCTAGCGCCACCGACAAATGACAAAGTTTTTATTTTATTTTTTATTTTTTTCCGTCTCTCTCATAATCTCGTATCCAATGAATTATCTTCTTCACGTGAAACATGGAAAAACAGTGAGCTGAGATGGAACCACACAACTTTTTAATTTGTACCATTCAAAAATAAGATTCCCAGCAATATTCACATTTTTCCAAATTTCAAATACCAATTATGTTCAAATTTTAAAAATAATAATAAAAATCACTTTAGAGGTGTTTGGCTACACAAAGGGTTCAATTTGGTGTACTTTTTTCCAAGTTCCAATTTTTGTTTGCTTTCATGACCGTGGCAAATAAAAGTGTGTTTGATTGGTGACCTGAAAAGAAATATTTGGCTTCTCACTGGTAAGGAGTCAAGTATTTTCGGACTTGAAAATAAGCGATTCAATGAAAAATAAAGTTATATTTCATGTTTTATATATGTGTTTCGTGGTAGATTTGATAATTGAATCTCAATTTAAAATTTTGTTCAAGGTGTGTTTAGTATATATTTGTAAACTAGTGAAACTTATTGACTAATTAAATATATTTAGTTAAATCTAAAATATTATTATATTAACATATATGTTCTAAATATGTTAGCCGTGGTACATAATATTAGGATCCCTCTCGTTCAGATGAGGATCGCTCTCATCCGGATGGATTGTTAATCCAATTAGGTACCCTCCTCACATTCAAAGTTCAATCTTGAAAATTTAGAGCCAAAACAAGCATAGTTCATCAATGATTGATATGTATCTTAAACTTATCAAAATAGGTGATTTTGAAAGATCCAATTTAAAAATTTATTGGAATCTTTTTAAAGGCATATAGGACAAAATAGACATAATTTTGGAAGATCAAATTTTGAAGAACAAGAACTAAAATAAAATATCTTTAGAAATTCAGAGATCAAATTTATAATTTAACCTAACATTAAAGTCAAGTAACATTAAAGTCAAGTAATATATTGATTAATCAAACTATAATAAACTATTATCTCTCATAGTAATTTGTTTAGTAAAAATATGACTTTATGTATGTAATTTGGCATTAGTTTATTTAATTGAAAATATGATTATGCATCTATATAAAAGAAAGAGAGAGTTTTTAATTTTTGAGATAATAAGGAGGGTTATTTTTAATTCTTAATTTTATAAATGTCTTTGAATTTTATTCTAATATCGTTTCTACCCTTATTTATTACTTTTATTTTATTATAATTTTAAAATTTAAAAGATTTGAATCCTTAATTCGTTATTATATTCATTTAATTATTGTGGGTACCGTTCAATTATTCAACCTAAATTCCTCAAATCTCTCCTTCAAAAAAGATCTGCTTCATTCTCCAACCTTGATTTTTTTACAGGCATCTTCCCTTTTTCGTGCATACCTTCATCAACGTCGACAGCATTGAAGTGCATACCGTCTGTGTACTTCTTCAACGTCGCCGAATAGACTTTCYGTCGACCTCGTTCCACGTTTCCAACGYTGTGCAGCATGCCTCCGTCAACGAGATATTTATTCCTTCAATTTTCGTCGCCAAATAAACTTTTCGTCGACGTCTTTGAACGTTTCCGACGCCGTTCAGCGCATTCCTCGTCTCCTGTCCCCTTCTGTTTTTACCATTGATACTTATTAGTCTTCCGTTAAGATTGGTATGTATGTTACAGAAAATGGAAATTCTAAACGTCTCACAATCTTAGTATTCTTGATTATATTTGTATATATGAGTATATATTGTATATGTGAATATATCTTATATGTGTATACATATATCTTATAGTTCTGTAGAAAGGGTTCTCCATACCATTTGTAATTATTAGTCTTCCGTGAAGATTGGTATATATGGGGATATATTTTATTTATGTGTATAGAAAATTGAAGTTCTAAATGTCTCATATGCTTAGTATTCCTGATTATATAGGTATATATTATATATGTGTATATATCTTATAGTTGTGTATATAAGATATAAACGCATATATCCTATAGTAATGTAGAAAGGGTCCTCCAAAATTGACGTTTTAAACGTCTCATGGATGAAGCGAAAAAAGTTCTTGATTTCGAATTTGGGATTTTTGGACGGGATTTGGAGATATTTTGGGAGGTTATGATTTCAATTTTGGGGAATTTAGCGTTTTGTTTTTAATGTTTTTGTGTTTTAATTTGTTTTGGAAAGTATCATTAACCTAAAATTATGGGATCTAAATTATAACCTTTCAATTAATCAATTTTGCATATTAAAATGAATTTAAAATTAATTTGTAAATACAAGAGGCTATTTTAGTAATTTATATGATGGGTACCCTCCTAAATAGGGTTGATACATTGACAAATGTGTAATACCTTTCATCCTTATATGTAATTAGTATATTTAAATAGTCCATCAATGTAATAATTCCTAATTTTTATTCTCTTTATTATAATGATAAAATTTGCCTTGAAATAAATTTTAAATAATTTCCTAAAATATATTGTGTCGTTTGATAATAATATTAATTAAGAAATTAAGAAGATGTGGTATTTGGTGTGTAGTTAAAGCGTGTGTGTCAGACACGTACGAAAAGATCAGAAATGACGTGGCAATGTCATAGAAAAGTTAATACCTTTCATTAAACTATAAATTTAATGCATCGCAGTGCCCGATCCCACTCCAGCTTTTTTTATTTTATTTTATTTTATTTTATTTCATATATTGATTTCGATGAATATTTTTAAAAAAATATGAAAATAGAAAGTTTATAATAAGTATTTCACACTTTTTAAATAAGTTAAAAATGATTAATATTAATGTCTCTATCAGTGATGCTATGTTGATTTTTCTTTTTTTTTTTTGTCCATTTTCACGATCTTTTAATTGGAAATAAATATCTTAACCAGTTGATCTATTCTCGATCTGACTTTAAACTTTTCGTTTTATGTTTAATAAGATAGACATAAAATAAATGTCTAATGTCAAATATTATCATAAAAATTTAGAGATCAAACTCCTAAGTTAATTGTGTATATAGAAATATTAAAACTTTATAAAATAATCATTTTTGTTATTTATATTATTATGTCATTAATCTTTTCCAGAAAAAAAAATCAACTTTCAAATATAGGTATTTGTTGTGTTTTTCATGACCCGGGGGCATGTATTGAAGTCGCATAAATTTGCTCAGAGTTACAAAGGACTATAATATATTTACTTCACAACCACCTTTTACTTGAGGCTCGATGGGGAGCAATTAAAGGAGGGAGATAAAAGGTGAGAGAGAAATTGAGTAAATTAAATGACCATACTTTCTCATTTATGAAAGTTTTTTTTTTATTTTTTTTATTTTATTTTTTGAAACCGTTCTTTTATGAAAAAATGGGTTTAGTTCTTCATGGGTAAAATTTTTTCACTTAGGAAAGTTTGAATGTTTTTTTTTGTAATTAAAATTTTTTGGGGTTAATTGTAATAATTATTAGAGTTGAAGAGTGATTTGGACCTCATTATATAAATTAATAATTAATTTAAATACTATTTTGGTCATTTTGACTATATTTAATTTTGATCTCTATATTTATAGTTGTACCAAAACGTTYATTTAGTCTGATATTCTCAATTTTTGTTCATTTTAGTTCCTATACTTTCAAATGTCTGTTTTGGTCCTGTATTTTTAAAAACAACCAATTTTGGTCAATTCGTTTTCATTTTTATCTTATATCTATCACAATTTTAGCACGATACACTTTAGTCACAAAATTTCTTAAAATACAGATTAAATTGTATRTTAAAATTTTGTAAACATTAACCAAAATAATYAATTTTTAAAAGTATAGAGATCGACATTTTATAAATATAGAGACCAAACTTGACCAAAGTTTAAATTAGAACTAAAAATAGAAGTTTTGAAATTAAAAATTACCAAAATAACTTTTTGTAACTAAAAATAGAAGTTMTGAAATTACAAATTACCAAAATAACTTTTGTTTAATATGATCAAAATAGTATTTAAATAAAATTTTTGCTCGAGAGTAAAAATGCAGGTGGGCACGTGCAACACCAACATGCACGTGACATTTTATTCTTCACCCACTCTACCCYTTTCTTTTTTTAGTAAAGTTTTTATATTTTAAAATTACTTTACACCTTTTAGAACTAAAATGGAGCGAAAGGATAARGTTSTTACGTTGAAAATAYTATTTTGATCMATTTACTTTATATTTTAGTTGATGTGTTTTTAATACG